TAGTAGTAGTAGTAGTAGTAGTAGTAGTAGTAGTAGTAGTAGTAGTAGAGTGCATCGATGCATCGAGGTAAGCAAACTCAGATTGAGATGGACGGTGAGGGGTGAAGAGGGAGAAGGATTCCCATAAGAACATACAATGGGGGAGGACATTCCCATAAGGATTCAATACAATGGTCTCTCGGAACATTTTGAATATCTCCCCGTGCGGAAAAGTGATGAATTATAAAATGAAAAATAGATGCTTCGAAAGAAAAATTATTGTTTGTTGAAACCTCCACCAAAGTACAACCTTTTTCCAACGTTCATATTTTTCATAGCCAGCGTTCGATAAAATATGGACTGAGGTTCAAAAATATTGCAACAATAACATTTGAATTTCATAAGAATTAATGAGCGGCTACTCACTCCCAAAATCACGGCACCACTCTGGTATGAAATCATTCCGAAATCACATGAAATCGTCTGAAATCAATGAAATCACCGCAATCAGTGACGAACCGTGCAAATAATTCGTGATTTTGAAATTGACGCGCCTGCCAGCGATGGTAATAAAATGCCGTACTCACTGCTAGACCGCTTTTCATCGTCATTAGCTCAAGATTGGTGGAGTGGAATCAAACGAATTCGTTATTATTTGCCAGTCTTGATTTTCGTAATTTGAGACAACCCATTTTGCTTCACCTCTATTATATATTAACTTTATTTTTCTGAAATCACTGATTTCGAATTCGTGAAATCATTTGAAATAATGAAATCACTTACCGCAACGCTCGAAATCATCGAAATCACTGCAATCACGGCTGAAATCTNCGAAATCACATGAAATCGTCTGAAATCAATGAAATCACCGCAATCAGTGACGAACCGTGCAAATAATTCGTGATTTTGAAATTGACGCGCCTGCCAGCGATGGTAATAAAATGCCGTACTCACTGCTAGACCGCTTTTCATCGTCATTAGCTCAAGATTGGTGGAGTGGAATCAAACGAATTCGTTATTATTTGCCAGTCTTGATTTTCGTAATTTGAGACAACCCATTTTGCTTCACCTCTATTATATATTAACTTTATTTTTCTGAAATCACTGATTTCGAATTCGTGAAATCATTTGAAATAATGAAATCACTTACCGCAACGCTCGAAATCATCGAAATCACTGCAATCACGGCTGAAATCTCCCGAAATCGACTTCATTTCGAAATCATGGTGTCACTCAATTATGGAGTGAGTAGCCCCTCGAGAATTGATAAATATCGAAATCGAACATGTTCATAATATCTGTCATAATAATAAAAGTACAAATATACCTAGCATATTAATAGTCCCAATGGTATTAGTCTTCAATGTCTTCACCGGATTCAGCATATAGTGAGGTGGACTAGCAGGGCTCGCCAAATGATAAATTTCGTCGACCTCTAGATAAAGTGGCCTCACAATATCATGATGAACCAACTCAAAATTTTCGTGTCCAACCCAATGTTCGACGTTTCGCTTTCTCCCCGTGAAGAAGTTGTCCGCTACTATAATCTCGTGTCCTTCAAGCATTAGACGATCCACCAAGTGCGAGCCAACAAACCCAGCCCCACCAGTAACCAGAATCCTTTTGCGATTTTTGTAATTTAGAAATTTAACTGTTGGAAATTTTTTTGGTATTCTGTCATTAACCTTAGCTTCTATGTTATGAAGTTTCTCTGCCAATTCATGTATTCTTTTCTTGGCTTCTACAAGGTCATTGACCTGATTTTTCGCAATAGACGAATCCTCGTAATTGTCCAGTCTTTCTTGCGAAGGTCGGTCTTCAATGTTCGACATTAATCTGCTGCGAGGATTTTGGCGCGGTACATTGTCCATTTTTACAACAGTCTCGTAGAATGCGAATACTGAAATAACCCCAATAATATTTTTTGTCATCTTTCCATACGGTTGAATTGTGTGAAGAGCGTTCTTCGGCTTTATGACTTGGGCTGTTTTTCTTACAAATTAAGATTTGAGGTCATTAACCGTCCCTTTTCAGGGTGTCCACCTGGAAGTTTGAACAAAATTCCCCAGGGGGCGAAGCCCCCCCCCCACCGGGGGGTTCGCCCCCTGGACCCCCTTTTCTCATGGGGGGCTTAGCCCCCCACACCCCCCTCTCGCCGCCCCCCCAACCCCCAAACTTCATCACGCACTTATCATATAAAATAGTATACGCAACACGTGCGGACAGTAGGCTGTATGTAACCGCCTGCTTTCTGCACTAGTTACGTAATGTACTATTATAGACTCTAAGGTGAAAAGCGTAGCAGGACGCTTTAGTGGGGACACCGGCAATTCCGTTTTGAAGGCCATAGAGTGGGGATATTACAACTCACCTTAGAGGGTTAAAACAGTTAATAAACGAGGATCACCTGACGTTGATAATCAATGACCAATATGGATGGATCCATGCACATTAACTCCTTTACCGAACTCAATTGAAGGGCAGAAGTCGGTAAAATAAAATTATCTTTGATTGGCGAAAAGACCCATCAAGTGAATTTTCATCGTCATTTCTCATTTTCACCTTCAAAATTTTCTTTGGATCATAATTTTCATTCAATTCAAATTTTTTTTCAATGTTCGCCACATTTCAAAGAATAAAATTGAGTATTCGTTTTCCATTGCATAGAATGGATTGAGAAAACATGAATCTTTTAGATTTAGTTTGTCTATTAGGTTAGTGCATTAAAAGAAACATTTTTTCATGGGCCATGGGATATTATCCATAATTTATGACATAAAATGAGTATTTAAGGATAATCGGGCGAGCCCGGAGGGTTAGAAAAAAAGCAACCATTTTATTCTTTTTTTTAACGTATTCTTTAAATGATGGAAAAGGCGTGTGCAAAGTTTCAGAGTGCTGGGGAGCATGGTTGATTTATTATGAATTTTTGAAAAAGTGGTCATTTAACCCGTGATCTTATGGAAATCACAAAAAAAAATGCAAAACTCAAGGAAAAAATGCAGCGAAAGTCATGAAGCTTTAGACACATTTAGAACATGTAATCAATGATTTTTTGAGTGAAAAAGATTGTCGCCTAGGAGCATTGTTTATTAATAATAGCGAAAAAAGTACTGAAAAATGAAATTTCTGCGCACGCGGCCCAAACGAGCTTCGCATGGATTAAAATTTTTTCATTTATTAAAAAAAAACAATCTGAAACCCATTCAATGCGTGGAACAGATGCAAATAAATTTGATTAGCTCCAAAAATAATTTTTAACCGGAGATACTCTCTAATATTGCCTGAATTTTGAATTCGAATGGGAAACATTTTTTTGTTCAGCGATTGGTTTTCTGCAGGAAAACAATAGATACCCCTCCGCCTCACCTCCTACATTTCCTCCTCACCCGATTATCCTTAATTTCATTTTTTAGATTCTAACGAAAATTGGGGAATACAAAAATCTCCATTAGATGGAAATTGCGCAATAAAGGAAGTATGGCCAAGGGAATTTTAAAAGACTTTTAAATTTTAGCGAGGTGAGATCACCTCCCCTTAAGAGGTGATCACTCTGTCAACTTTTTAACATAAATACGTCCAGCGAAAAATTTGTCTAGAAAATTAGGATGCTAACATCTGTCTAGCGGACCAGGTTGGAACTCTCAGTGTTTTTGCAGTTTGTATATTCCTGGAAATGAGTATTTTTCAAACATTTACACTATATCTTGATATACGAGACTTCCTTTGAAAAGTAGATTGCGGAATTTAGAATTTTCCATAGAAAAATCGCAAAAACAGTAGGTTTTCAGTCTCATCCCACGAGAAGATGTTAACATCCCACTTTTCTATGTAAGTTGGAGATCAAATTCCAGGAAAATGTTTTTTGTCAAGAGAAAAATACCCAAAAATTTAGGTGCTTGGAGAAAACAAGCTTAAAATTTTTTTATTCCAGAAAATTGTTGTAATTCCCTGATTTTTCCCTAAAATTTCCAGACCAATCAAATTCCCTGACAATTACCAGTTTTCCAGATTTCTCTGACGGCTGGACACCCTGCTTTTGCCGAACGGCAAAATTTGTTATTTGAACGACAAATTATTTCACCAAAGTTTCTGTTTATGATAACTTAAATGGACTCGCTCATGAATAGTTCAGTAGCAACGTGGTAAAGCGTCGTAATTACACATTATTCGTCTCCAAAACAAGTAATCTCAGACAAAAAACATTACTCTATTCAAAAATTTCTTATTATTGAGATAATTTAATTCTATTTACTGATGACACATCATAAACAGAATTGTCACATTTTACCATTTCATTAGCTACTCCTCATTTAGTTAAAACAAAATTATCGTTTCTCAGAACCAATGTCATCGAAAATTAATATCTTCATTTTTATGTTAATTTTAACCCACCAACTCAAGTTACTTGTGGCCTGTCTGCAGGAACAGGAACCTCTTTGTCGGTGTACAGCTATTATGTATACACTATACATAGATACTTATGATAACGTTATTCAAGATTTTAAAAAAAAGTATCGAACACTGACGTCCACGGCAGACCAGACAGGAACTAAAATTGACAAAATAGTCGGGGAATAAAATAAAAAAAGTACAGGAAGTGTATGCGCTTATGTAGGCCGTCAAATGAGTACACTACATACTACACAATATGCCCACCGAGAAGGATATATTAGTGATCCCACGTCGGTGCATGCCGTGTATGAATAAAAATGAAGGCTCATTTTATTTAATCGAAACTACTGCTGCGGCGGTTTTGGAATCAACAGAAATATTTGCTTTCAATCGCTATCAGTTGATTTTAAAAAAAACTCTTTCTGAACATCAATATACACACGTACATATTTTAATGTAAAAAAAATAACGCAAATGTAAAAACATAAAAATGTTGTATAATTTAAAGATGAACGGCTAGGAATAAATATGATGAGACCTATCGAAAACACATGACTTGTTTGTTTGCATTTATTTATTACGGAGGTGAAAAAATTGTTGCTACTGAAGGACCAGTTTTTAGCTCCTACATTTCTGTAGTGAAGTGGTCAAACGGTTTAATTCAATTCCATTCTAGCGCCAGTTCTCGATGAATATCTCACTCAATTCTAAAGGAGTTACCAAAATTTTCCTAAAAATCTTTTTTGTAGAGAAAAGTGAAGACTATCGAAAACGATCTTACAAAAATTTCGCTTTCTTAAATTCCGAGTTATTCAACAAAAACTCAACTGGGAGCTAAGTCGACTCATACCAATTGACCACGTCACTACTGAATTTAATCATTCTTATTCCCAGAATATTTAAGGGAAAATTCCTTGCATTTCGATAGATAATCCTTTACCCGAAAGATTAGTGAACTAAATCCTTCCTACGGTTTACAAAATTGGTCATAAGGAGCAGGTAGCAGCTCACTAATAGATCCAGCTATAATACTGTTCCTGGAGGGATGCTTTGGAGAGCATCAGGAAGGATATACAATCATACTGATAAAACGTATTAAGCTAGAAAATGCAAACGGGTAAAGACCAGAAAACAAATTGAATAAAAAGTGGAGGAAGATCCTTTTTACCAATGGTGCAATGAAATTAGTAAAAAGACAAAATTATACAGATATTGTACTATTTCTAAAGATATTCTGAGCAACTTTTTAAAAATATGATATACTGAAATGAAATTATTCGAAGAGGATGATAAATTGGGAAATAACAACAATTTCCAATCATCACAACAGTGGAATACTTCTTAGAATAATAACGTGTGCTCTCCATAATCCAATCAAAATTGTCAACTCACTCAGTAAAACACAGAAGGCAAAGAATCCAATCTGCTTCATCTTCCGCTGTGAGACCAGCATCCTTACTGTCTTACATGACTCCAATGTATTCTCAAAATCACCTTCTCAGAATACCATACTTCACCCAATTTATTTCTTCTCACTAAGTGAGACTAGTTTGACCTGCATGAAACCACCTAGAGAAACATAACCTCACTAAGGTAGGCCGATTGAATTATTTGCACGGTAAGTCGTCTGCGAATCCTATACTGTAGATTCAAAAATAATGTCCGTTACTTCAGCAAATCCATCATATTTTTCCAAACACAAAACAAACATAAAAACTCATCAAAACTCGGAAAGACGATCAAAAACATCATCACATTGATGTACACAGAGATTTGGACTATTCTGTCTCTGTTCTCTATCCTACGTAAACACTTCACTGAACCAATCAATGTACATATCTATTCATAACATTTCATTCATATTACAATGTTCATGGGGTACATGAACATGATGGAGTCAGTATACATGAACACTCAACAAAGAAAATACACTGTTAAAAATTTTTGGCTGACCGTTCCGGTACACTTGATGACACTTGATTAAAATTTTCATCAAGTGACAGTTCCACTAAACACAAAATTATGTTTTTGAAATTCACTATTTTATGAAAGAATCAATGAAAAGTATAAATATCATAAAATTGAATACAAGTTGCGAAAATATGTTCGGATTATTAATTCCTTGGAAATTCAGGGTAATTTCATACTGAATATTGATGTCTTGATTAAAAATTCAGATATGTTGGGGAGGTCTCTCGGCTTCTTACTGCTCAAAAATTTGCGAGTCCATTGAATTTTATGAGAAATTTCATAATTTTTTCTCCCCAAATTGAATCTAATATCAATCGCCTGAAAATTACTACCAAACATTCCATGAAATGTAAAATTTTCTCTACCGGAAATTTGGATAACTGTCATTCACTGGCGTTGTTTCCTAAACGTTTTCAATCGATGTAAATATAATGAATGTACAGAGAATGGACAACAGCCCATCCAGATGAACAAGTTTTTACATGACTGTTCATTCGCTTAGCGAATTTTCTTAACCGGCCAGAAATTGGTGCACTTGCAAAATGCTCAGCCGGTATATTATCGATTGAGCCGAATCAGTGACTCTCTACAGGTGGATTTCCGAACCGTCAGCTTCATCTTCATCTTCGACCCTATGTTCATATATATAAGGCTGAAACACCACTAAGATAGCGTTTATAACGATTTTCTACCGTCACGGTGCGCGACAGAGGCCACTTCTGGATAAGACGATACAATAAGAATTAGAAATTTTTGAATTCATATTATGGGGGACGTCGTTGACTGTAATTTTCCCGTATGGGGACTTTTACCTAAGAAAGAAACTGGAGTTAGTCAGTATCTCATTAAATATCCGGAGTACGATGGTAGGGGTACCGTTATTGCTATCTTCGATTCTGGAGTCGACCCTGGTGCTCCTGGACTACAGGTAAACATATTTAGGCAATGGCTATTTTATGCCTTGTCATTCACTATTTGTTTACACATGATAATATTTATTTATATTTTCATAGTTTTCAATTTTGGATTATCCTTGGAGGGAATCACTATTGTATATAATAATAGTTCACTTGGATTTCGCCCATTGTTTTGCGAATATCATTTCTATTTTTAATATTTTCTTGATTTTTGTACTTTTAGGTGACGAGTAATGGAAAACCAAAGATTATAGCCCGGTTTGACTGCAGTGGGAATGGAGACGTGGATACCAGCACAATTGTACACTCAGAGGAGGGATACATTATTGGACTCACCGGTCGCAAGCTCAAAGTAATAATAATTCATTGCAATTTCATTATTCAAGTTATAATTTCAAATGGTTATTCCATCTCTACTCAATGTCTAGTTTTTGTAACATCATTATTCAATTATGTATTTAACTTAAAAATTGCATTCTATCTTTGTTTTAGCTGCCATTCAACTGGAAAAATCCATCTGGTGAATACCATATCGGTGTTAAAGAGGCTTACCCCCTTTATCCAGCGAAATTGCGTGAAAAAATAATAGCCGAACGGAAAAAAAAGTATTGGGACGATGGCCACAAAGCAGCACTTGCGGAAGCCACCCGAAAGTTTCAGGTTCTTAATAATGCGTTTTTTTTCTCACAAATCGTGAGATAAAAGCGAGGAGTGTTTGAAAAAAGTAGAATTTGAAACCAAGTCATCCAAAGATAGGGTTGTTGTGGGGACGTTGACACTAACGTGTTGTTAATTAGGGCATTGCGTATTTTTATCGTTTCAACGCCACGCTATATTTGTAATTGGCAATGTTTGATTCATTGAGTGTTTGAGAATTCAACTATTATGTAATTGTTTTGACGTTATCGATGATGGACTCACCTAATTTCTTGCGATATATTTGAAAAGATTTTTTTTTTTCCTATAGGAATTTGAGGCGAAAAATCCTAATCCAACTAGTGTCCAGGATAAATTAACAAGGGAGGAATTGGAGGCCCGTGTTGAAGTGCTCCAAAATGGTGAGAAGAGGTATCATGATGCGGGGCCTACTTACGATTGTGTTGTCTACCACGATGGTGACAATTGGAGGTAAATGATTGTGAGGGATAAATCAGTCCTATTAGAACAAATTGAATAGAACAATTTTTTATCGATGAAAATGGCCCCTAAACAGAGCGTGTATTGATACATCTGAGGAAGGAAACCTTGAGGCTGGAATTCATCTAGGAGAGTACTACCTCACTCAGAATTATGCTCCTCTCACTCAGCAAGATCAGTTGAACATCTCAGTAAATATTCATAACAACGGAAACATTCTTGAAATTGTTGGAGTATGCGGTAAGAAAAAATTAATGGAAATTTGTCATGATTCAATTGCATCAGATCAGTGATATAGCTATACAATAGTCAGTAAATGTGATTAGGTAAATCATTTAAAATGTAATTTTTTCCTCTTCAAAATATTTCAAAATATTAATCGACTTGAGAGACCTCATGAAACTTTCTGCTATCCAAGAATCACTGGTATTTGACGGATGTTATTTTTTTCAACACTGAACGAGTAATATGTTTTGTTCACAGTGTTTTTTAATGACAAAAACTAATAAGATTTGTTAGGGAAGAGTGGAGCAAATTAAATAGTCAAAAAATTACAGTTTTTGAAGACGCAATTGAAGCAAAAAAATTTTTGCTTATTAAATATTTTTTATCAGCTTTTTTTTTATTCTTTGGAGTATACTGATGAGAATAATAATTTTCCATTTTACAGAATGAAAAATTATTATTCTCAATAGAACTCCCAAGAATTAAAAAAAAAATGATAAAACAAATTTTTTTTTGCTTGAATTGCGTCAAACAGTGCTTTTTTTTATATTTCATTTTGGCCCACTCTCCCCTACGTTTAATCCGTTTGGTCTCCTTCAAAATTTCACTAGCGTTGTTGATTCTCAACATATATTTAAAAAATTCAAATAACATAATAATTAACCATCTTATTAGCAAGCCACGGGACGCACGTGGCGTCAATAGCAGCCGCCAACTTTCCCGAAAACAAAGAGCTGAATGGCATTGCCCCTGGAGCTCAAATAATCTCCTTGACAATCGGCGATAACCGCATCGACCCCATGGAAACTGGAACTGGTCTCGTTCGAGCAATGGTTTGGATAATGAAAAACAACAAAAAAGTGGACGTTATAAACATGAGCTACGGTGAGCAATCCCACTGGTCCAACACAGGAAGAATCATCGAGCTGATGAATGAAGTTGTCGATAAATACGGAGTCACCTGGGTCGCAGCAGCTGGGAATTTTGGTCCAGCTTTATGCACAATTGGCACTCCACCAGACATCAATACCATGAACATAATAAGTGTGGGTGCATATGTATCTCCAGATATGATGGTAGCCGAATATTCTCTCCGTGAAAAAATGCCAGGTATGCCGTATACGTGGTCCTCACGAGGACCAATGATAGACGGTGGTACTGGGGTGACTGTGTGTGCACCTGGTGGAGCCATAACAAGTGTTCCAAACTTTACTCTTCGTCAGAGTCAACTTATGAATGGTACCAGTATGGCCAGTCCACACGTTGCTGGTGCAATTGCCCTCCTTATCTGTGGCTTACGCGACAAAGCCTGTCCTTTCTCACCTTTCAGCATTAAACGAGCTCTCGAAAATTCGGCGCTATATATAGAATCATTGGACTCATTTGCCCAGGGTTCTGGTCTACTTCAGGTAGAACGTGCTTTTGAGAATCTAGTGGCGAACTGTCAGGCAATCGAGAGAGACGTACGATTTTCCATAAACTGTGGAAGCAATAACTCAAAAGGTATTCATCTCAGAACTGGAGTTATTGACCGACCAAAGGACTGTGCCGTAACAGTTGAGCCAATCTTCCTTGACACTGAGAATGTTGATGCATCTCGAAAAATCAATTTCAATCTCAGACTGTCATTAGTTTGTGATGCATCCTGGGTGCAATTTCCATCGCATTTTGAATTGATGCACATGTCTCGAGCTTTTACTGTGAGAATAGACGCTGTCAAACTGAATGACGGTGTACATGCCACTAATATTCGGGCCTACGATGTCACCAATGTTGAAAAAGGACCAGTGTTTACTATTCCTGTTACTGTTGTGCAACCCCTGACAATTCCAAAAACAATGAATTTACCGGACTTGCATTACAATCACGTTTTGTTCAAACCAAATACTATTAATCGCCACTTCATTTTCGTACCGGAGGACGCGACGTGGGCTGTTATCAAGCTCAAAAGCCACGACAAAGAAAAGACTGGGAGGTTTGCCATACAAGCTGTGCAGTTGAAGCCACGAATGGCATCCCGAACCCTGCAAATTAATAAAATGATAAACATTACTTCACAGTCTGAGACTGTGCAAGGATTTGCCGTTCAGGGGGGTTTGATTCTCGAAGTTGTTGTTGCCAAGTATTGGGCCAATCTCGGGGAAATTTATATTGATTATTCGATTGAATTTCATGGAATCCATGTAATCGATGGGAATGTTACAATGCAATCAGGCGATGGAATCCATCGAATGGAGCTTCGCAGTTCTCTCAGGAATGAGGAAATTGTACCGAGTGTAACATTGAAATCACTTGTTCAGGTTTTACGGCCTATCGAGTCGAAAATAGTGCCACTAGGTGAGAGGGATATTATTCCACCAGCACGTCAAATTTACGAACTGCAGTTGACGTATACATTCCACATTGCTAAGGCAACCGAAGTTACACCAAATGCTGCTTTCCTCAGTGATCTTCTTTATGAGAGTGAATATGAAAGCCAGCTGTGGATGCTTTATGACTCGAATAAACAGCTTTTGCACTGTGGAGATGCTTTCCCATGGAAGTACACCATTAAGAAGTTGGAGAAGGGAGATTACACCCTGAGGATGCATATTAGGCATGAGAAGAAGGATTTATTGGAAAAACTTACAGATATGGCGATTCTATTGAATCAAAAGCTGGGAAATGTCATTAATTTGGATGTTTATGCCAATCACTCACAGGCGATCATTTCGGGGAAGAAGATGGTCGCTGCTACTGTACCCCCGGGACATATTCTTCCGGTCTATATTGCTCCAATGAATAATGAAAATAAGTGAGTATAATGTTTTTACTAATATTTCTTAACATTTCAAAATCAGTAGTGAAGTGATAAAACTTGATGAAAAAAAAATACATTTTCAAATATTTCCAAATATATGCAATTATTTTGATAACCAATGGTGTCAAATATCAAACGGTGTTGTTTGTCGAAAATCTCTCTTGTTCTTGAGAAGAATCAACAACAATCAGTCATAATCTAGGTCGTTTTGGCACTTCGCTACCCAACTTCGCTACACAGAATTATTTTTTTGTATATAGCGAGATCATGTTTTAATTAAGATATTTTCTTTGGGTTCACTATTCAATACGAAGCAGCTCAGAATGCAAGTGAGTCGGTTTCACCTACACTTGATTGGTTTCGCTTAAGCTTCGCAGATCTTCCAACTTCATTCGCTTTTGCAAATGATTTGTCCATTTTTCCAAAGTGCATGGCTTTGTTCATGTTGAGCTCAAATTTTGCATTTATGTAATATCTTCTTCCTTCTAAATGATTTTAATTTAATAGTGAAGTAGTGAAATGTGATAAGTTGATCTCGTTCAAAGATCAGAATTTCTATTGAATATCTATGAATCGAAAATAGATAATGAAATTCTTATAGATACCTATGTTGTATCTATCATATCACTCTGTGATAGCAATAGTTCCTAGCAAAACTTTTCTTCATCAGATTCAAAGATATTTTGAAGACCACACATCTCGCTTTACTCTTTTCCTACTGACATTGAAGATGTAGAAAAACGGATATTAATCGATATATTTTTCTACTATCAAGGATATCAAAGGGAGCAACACTGGGAACCTACCTCCAGGGCTCAGTGACATTTTGCAAAGACGAGGCGCGGAAGAAAATTGACTGTTACACCTTCAAATACGTTCTATCTGAGGCAGCTAAAAAAGTACCACAAGTGGTTAAGTCGGATGATGAAAAGGTCAGCAAATGGGACGAGTATCAGGATACACTGAGAGATATGAAATGCACATGGCTGGCAAAATTAGGTAAATCTTTATGCTACAACCTTTTCTGCTTCGGTGAATTCAGTCGAGAGAAAAATTTTTAAGAACCAGGCAGATATCTCCAGGATCAATTAATCAAAGGCAACATGTCAATTTTTCAAAAAAACTAATGAACATGATGTTTATAAATATGTTACGAATCGACTTGTTATCGTCTAACAAGTTGACCTTGTTATTTGACTGAATTACCAAAGTAGTTTATATAAAAAAAAATCATTATGTATGCAGTTTATTTCATTCACGCTTTATTTTTATCTTTCCCAGCTCCATCGATCAGTAAGTGTATTTGTCGATTGCAAATCTATACTGTGACTAGCTGAATGTTTTAATCTCCCTCATTACATCCATTGCTTCTCCACTGTTTGAGAAAATTCTTAGGAATGGTGTGATATAATAGATGATTCAGAAATTCATTATTCTTTATCATTTTTCAGAGGCGACTGAACACGCAACAGCTTTGTACAATGAGCTCCGTACTACTTATCCTGAGCATTTACCCGTCCACACTGCCATGTTGACGTCCCTAGACTCCCCAGAAGCTAGACGGATACTTCCCCACGATGATCTCAGCGAAAGTGCAATAAGCTTTTCCGATCAAATAATCGACGTTGCTGACAAAGTTATTTCTGCAATCGATCAAGAAAAATTATTAGCATTCTACGGTATGAAACACGATCAGAGGCCAGATGCTTCGAAAATCAAATCAACGATGGACAAACAAAAGAATCTATTGATCGAGGCACTCGTGAAAAAAGGCTGTGCTTATTCAAGATTATATATTCATACTCGTAAGAGAGGTGAAACTGAAGCTGCTATGCATCTGTCTACGGTAACGCAAATTTGGAATGATGTACAAAAATACACTGAAGCCACAGATAACAAGGTATTATTTGTTTTATTACTTTTAATTATTATTTGAAGGCTCGGGAGGATTATCTTTGAAATGTGATCTTGGTTGTTTTTTTTATTTTGAGATTCTGAAATGATTTCTAATTGCTATTCAGTTTTACATAGCCCTAAAGTCTCCAAAAATTATGATTATACAATCAAAAAAACGCTGAAAAAAAGTTAAACATTTTCAAAGAGAGTTTTTGAATAATATTGGAAAATAAACCCAATAGGGAGGAAATTGCAAATTAATAATTTAATTTATCGAATAGCTGTTAGGTCGTCATTTGTCACAGTAGACAATAGCTGTTAGATCGTTAGTTACCATGATAAATTATCCATTCACTATTTCCTCTCTGTCGGACTTATTTCTTAATCTTAATTAAAAACGCTCTTTGAAAAGGTTCAGTTTTTTTTCTACTTTTCTTGATTGTATAATCATAATTTTTAGGGACTCCTGCGTGATGTAAAATCCAATGGAAATTGTAATATATTTTACATTATGAAGATAGAAAAACAATTGAGATAACGTTCGGAAGATAATCCACCCGGGTCTTAAAGTGATAATTTCACCCGTGGCTCACTTATACCCTTACAACATCGATAACCCGTGATGCATTCAACGTTCAGAAGTCAATTTTCAATAAAATCATAATGCAAACGCGAAGACCATAATAAATCAAATTGAATGTTTTTTTTCCGTTCATGCTGAAAATATGTGATTTCAGTGGCCATGGGAGTTGTAATATGTAGTGCATTGTAATCGACGCATTTAATGATTCTCTAATTTCTCTAAGAAATTATTGAGAGTATTTTTAGAAAATGTCGGTGTTAGTGCCCATATGTGCGTGCAAACTTTCGAGAAATTTCTTATGAGTCTTCACAATGAACAAGCAGAGGTTTAGGCCTATCAGACAGAAGGGATATGACCGTTACTTTTTGCGTTATTGATCTATTTCTTTTTTTTCTACCAATTTCATTGGTGAAAAAACGGCAACCTCATTCTACAGGGTGTCTCCGGGGACATATTGAACCTTTTGATGAAATTGATTCCATGCAAAAGGTTAGATAGCTCCGGAATCGCGCGGCAGATTGCGTCCATCCAAAATATCAACCTTCGATATTATAAGAGCTATAATCATACCAAATTTCAATTTGCTATCTCAATTTTGGATTCCGAATGGATCGTTGATTTTGACAATCTTCTAATTTTGCCTGGAAATTATGTAGAATGTCATGGAACGTGAAGATAGGATGCTTTTAGAAAATGTGTGTATGCATGTCTGTATGTGTGTGCGAATTTTACAAACGATTTTTACAAAACTTCATAGACGGACTAAAGTTAAAGCTAAAAATGTGAAATTTTGTCCCATAATTAGTATTATTGCGTCATACCTGTGTATAAAATTTTATGTCCATCGATTCAGCACATCCTGGCATAGAGCGATTAATCGAAAAATGTTTTTTAATGACATATCGTCATTTTATCAATGATTTTCACATGAGGATAACTTAAAAAGTCATATAATCAAAATTGATGTTTTTTTTTGCATTTTATATTATGTAATATTTGATGAAATGTCACAGCTGTCACAGAAACAGAGGCCTGTGTGGTCTATTTAAAAAGGTGTAAATCTTCGATGAAATGTTTTCATTAAAAGTATGGTCGTTAGTGAATGATGAGTCTATGAATAGTTTTCTGAGTAATTATCATTTGCAATATAATTAGAATTTTTATTCTCTTCTAATATTATAGCAAACAAAATCACAATGATAAAAAAAAATGGAATAGTTCAAAATCAATTAACTGTATACAGTGAACATTTATATTTTGTTCCTAACGAAATTGTCTCTATTTCTTCTTCATTAATTTTGATAACCTACGTCTGAATATCACGGTACAGAACTTTCATCTTCTCGTACTTAGTTATCCATATCCAGAAAAGTAGTTCATTGATCTCAATTTTTTCAATAATGAAATATGTTAAAGATACAATCTATCAGATAAAAGGAGGAAATTGAATAGAAATTGTGATATTTCTTTTTAGAAATCAGAATTGCTACGGATCCATCCGGAAGTTTATTACCAATGGAATTGATAGAGAAAAAAAATGAATAATGCATAAAGTAACGGTCACATGGCTTTTGTCGAGTAGACTTGCAGCCCTGCGTATTTTCTCAAGTTAAGGCCCGGGTGTACTATCTTTCGAATGTTATCTGGATTTTTTTAATCTTTCGTAATCCAAAATTGTCAATTGAGTGGTACATCATGTAGAAATTCCCAAAAAGTACGATAGAATGATAAAAAAAATAAAACAAATTCTGAACTTTTTCAACGAGCGTTTTTAATTGAGATTCAGAATGAGTTGAAAGAAGTGAAAATTACAAATTGCTGATTCGCTGTAGCAAATTATCTATTAGCTGTCATTTTCCATGGTGCATAACACAACACTAACTCCTCATGGGAAGTGACAGCTAGGTATCTCAATTTTCGAAACAGTGGTATGTAGTCATCTGCCATTTTTATGTGATAAAAGTGTGATTAAAAAATTCTCCAAAATATTACAACTTTTTTCGAAGAGCCTTTTCCGTAATAAATGTCTCTGTGTGGGAAAAAATTTACGAAATCAGTCTTCCCCCTGCATGATATTGGGTGACAGACCGCCATTTATCACCGCAAATCAGATACATTTTTTAATTTCTTGTTATTCAACTTATTCTGAATATAAATTAAAACTGCTCTTTGAAAAAATAAAGAATTTTTTCTACTTTTTTTAAATTATTTATTCGCAATTTTTCAAAACTTTTGCATGATGCAGGAATTAATTGACAATTTCAGATGACAAAAGATGAAAAAATCGTGATCGAGATAATGTTCGGAAGATAGTACACCCGGGCCTTAAAGTGTACAAAAATTTGTTTAAATCTGATTTTCGGAAAAGCTTGAAATTGGATGAATAGTTTTTGACATATTTGACGATATAGTTTTATACAAAAAGTTGAATATTTCCAAAACTACTCATTCGATTTCGCCTATCTGACATTCCAGTCTGTAATATAGTAAGAATTAAAATCCTACCAAATTTACACTTTTTATCTCAATTTTTTCGAGAGTTATCGGTGCCCACGCCGATTTCATCACAAAAATAATCATGTAAATTACTATACGACTCACCCTAGTTACTTTGGTATATTATGGTTCAATTTGATTGATATTATCATAAGGAATATTTTGACGCCAAAAAAGCTCTTTTGAAGTAGTAATTTTTTTAGATATTGAGAAACGAAAATGTTTTGAGGAATCTCTCTATTCCAAATCTAATGGACCTATTGAGCTGAAACTTGGCAGGGAAGTGCCCCTGAACAATACCAATTATGGACCGAAATTTCAGATTTTTAGCTATCAATTTAGTCCTTTTTGTGTGAAGATTTATGAAAAAATTCTTGGAATTTTGCACGCACATATGGGGGTACACACAAACATTTTCTCAAAACCTAATATCTCGACGTTTCATGACATTCTAAATTGTTTCCAAGTAAAATTAGAGCATCACAAAATCCATCGAAACGATGATTTTGACAAATCGAATTCTCACGCCTTTTATAACGATATCACCCATAATATAATAATTCGATTGCTGAAGAATGCTCACTCCACCGCTAAAGAATTGGTGTGAAATTCTTACTCCCATAGTAAGTCACATGGGCATTTTAGGAGCAAATACCACAGAAGACCTTTGCAGGGGAGGGGATATTTTTTAATCCTTGATATTTTCTCATAAAATTACTATAATTAATTTTACGATGTTCACAATCTTTTTATTCTGTTATGTTACCGCATCAATATTGAGTAAAAATGAAGTAACACACTATCCTTTCTCGGACTGTCGTATCCGATGGATATCTCCTGACATTTTCAGTTAACATTGGTAGACGGAAAAAAAATCCAGCAAGAAGAGCAAGAGTAGATTTGTTTGTCTATTTGTTCCCTTTTCCCCTAAATTAATAAACCGTGAAGCTCCCGGGTTAACTTTATTCCAAGTTTCCATTTCTAATCATTGTCAAGATTCAATTTATTTCCTTGATGTTACAAAAGTTTTTCTTTGTTTTACATCTCCACAAGCCTCCTCCTCCTCTATTTTACTAAACATTTTATTAACATAGTGCTGTGCACATAACCAACATATACTATAATATAATATATTTTTCTTTATTTTTAACCTTTCCCTTCTTATTTACACCCCATTCCCCCCTTCCCCCACTGCTCCTCCATCCTTTTCTGGTTCTTCTCCACCCTTCTGCTTCCATCCCTCTCTTTGGTTGCGTTTCGCTTTGTCTACTCCTCTCTCAGCGCCTTCTCTATCCTTCCAAACCTATCACAGTTTCTCTTCGTAGCGTGATCTCTGAGCTCCTCTATTATCCTTTCTCTCCAATGTCTTCGATTACTTTTCTGTCTCCATCTCTTCCACCATCTTTCATCATGTGGTCCTACTCTCCTCATTATCTCCTTGCAACTGACCACGTGCTCCAGTGACTCCTTCTCTTTCTCACATGCTCGGCATCTGTCATCCTCAAAGCCTTTCTTCCCTCCTCTTATTGCATTTCCACATCTCCATCTTGCCCAAGCCATTTTCTGTTCCATGTTTAATTTTCTATCCGTCCAGTACTCACACATCTCCGTGTTCTCCTTTATCTCTCCGTAGTGGTCACAGTATTTCGATTTTTCTATTCTCTCCCAATCCTTCTGTTTTTCTTGATCCTCCACTATCTCCACTATATCCTTCAGCCTTTTTTCTGCTTCTTCCTTCCTCCCCTCCCGCAGATGTTCCAGGAACTCTCCATCTCCTACTTCTCTCAGTCTCTCTATCACCCCTTGCCCCCAACTGGACGGTTGTCCATTCTTAATCCCCCTCAATTCCTCTTTCAGGCATTTTCTTGGCCATCTACTTTCTTCCATTCTGCTCAATTTTATTAGAAAAGCCGCTGCCCTTCTGACTGCTTCTACTTCTACACTGCTTACTCCTGCCTCCATTCTCCATATGTAGTCTGGTGTGTTTCTCGCCAGTCCCATGCTAGCCTTTGTATATTTCTTCTTTATCCTTTCTATGTTTTCCTGCCTTCTCCATCCCCACAGTTCTACTCCATATAGCGCCGCTGCCTTCACCGTTACTCCCATGAAATACAGCCTCTTCCTCAGTCCTCTTATCTTGCCTCTCCTCATTTCTCCCCAGGTTTTGTTCACCAGCGTCTGAGCTTTCCCTGTCAGTTTCTTGGCATGTCTCGAGTATGTGTTTTTGGTCGTGAACCAGAAGCCTAAATACTTGAATTCATTCACCACCTCCAGTTTCTTGCCTTTGTACTCCCAACTTTCTTTCCTCCTTCTTCCTCCGTTCCTGAACACCATTATCTTTGTTTTTTCCACACTCACCTCCATTTCATTTCCATCTGCCCACTTCTCCAATGTCTTTAACATCCTTTTCAACTCAGATCCCTCCTCTGCCACAATCGCTGCATCATCTGCATACATCAGGGTGAATATCTTCACCCCTGCCCCTGGTCCGATAGGCGTGCCTCCGTCTCCTCTCTTTTCCATCGCCTCTATCAGGTCTTGTATGAAGATATTAAATAGTATTGGGCTCAGTGGGCAACCCTGCCTCACTCCTCTGCCCGTCTGGAACTCCTCTGTCAATCCTGTCCCCGCTATCACCCTGTTTCTGGTGCCCTCATAAATTCTCTGTGCCATCCTCAAGAACTTTCCTACTATCCCTATCTCCTCCATCTTGTTCCAGAGTTTCCTTCTGTCCACCTTGTCGAATGCCGCTTTGAAGTCAATAAACGCTACATATAATTTCCCTCCTTTCTTCTTGAGTCTGTTCCCGATCAGCGTATTCAGTACAAACACCTGCTCCATTGTTCCTCTTCTTCTCCTGAATCCTGCCTGTGCCTCTGATAGTTTTTCCTCTTCCTCTAGCCACTTACCCAGTCTGCGTGCCATTATCGACGAGAGGATTTTATATCCTATGTCCATCTAATCATTGTCATTTCTTTCTATTTTCGAAGGTTCTGATCCTGTCCTTGTGGCACGCGCACATTAACAAACACTATGGACGTTACCTGAAACTCTTAGGACGTTATTACGAAGACAAACCACTCAGGGATATTGACGAAAAATTCGTTGAAATCACGAAAACTATTGGCTGGGATCATTGGGCAAAGCACATCAGTGGAAGTATACCAACGCGTCATTCTAAGACATACAGGCCATTTTGAAATGTGATTCAATAATCTATGTCATTCATATTTTCTAAAAAAAAAACTAACATTAATCTGGGTAAGAAGGATATACGTTTTGCTGAAGTGAAACTGCTTTTTTCACAAGGCCGATAACAAAAGAAAATTGTTTTCTATTATTTTCAAATGCACGATGCGCGGTTGTATAATTTATAATGAATTTACTTGTCTTTTTAATTATATTTAACAATTTCGATGAAATTCATCAGAGAAGAACTCGTACAGTGCTTCCTTCCCTAAAATGATCTCCACTGTGTTATAAAACAACACCTGAAGAGGTTCCACTTCAACAATTACGCAAGATTGATAGGTGCGAGGAACACAAGATCCTGAAGAACTCCAATCGCTGTGTGTGTCAAGTAGATTTGAATTATCTCATATTTTTTAAAGCCTGTTCATCTACGGTTAGTTTGCCTTCAGTAAAACGTGTGCAATTGTCCTTATCAATTGCTCTTAAAGTATCATGAACATTGCAATGATTCTCGAATGATCCTGTGAAGTTTAACTCGTGAAAAATAAATTTTGTAAACAATTTTAACACATTAATACTGATCACCATTTTTGGGGTGGAACATCTTCACACAATTGCTTAAAAGATGTAACCCTCATAAAATTGAATTAATAATTATCCTGGATTATTTTTATGAAAATGACTGATTCGAGGAGCATCAAAACAATCGTCAAATAAAAATGAAAACTTTGACATTTGGGTTATGATTTTGACTAGCAGGATTGCCAGTACCTTACCTGATAGAGGATTCTAAGATCATCTGGAGTATGTTGAAAGTTCTTACAAAATACTAGAATCTTTTGGAGCATCTTTTGGAAAGAAAAGTAGGGATTTTGTTTTAAACATTCTCACGCTTTTATGAGTGAACCAAGAAATGATTCTTAGCTAGAAATGTATTCTACTCTATCCGGCTGCGGATGAAATAGATAAGAGATCTTTACTCTGCTGAAAAGTTATGTAAATCACAATGTAAATAAATCAACCCACAGGTTTGCCATTTTCCAACTTAGAAAGGACATAGGTTCTCAGTCGAAAAATGGGGTCCAATTTAACCGGAGCCGGATAAAGTAAGGAGAGTACATTTCTAGCTAAGGATCATATTTTTTGACTCACTCAAAAAAGCGTGGGAGTGTTTAAAAAAAATCCCCGTTTTGCTCAATATATATAGCTACGCTCGAACCACGTTAACAATGCTTGAATAAGGGAAAAGTTTTCCGGATTATCCCTGAATCTCTCATGAGCTTCTGCACCGTTCAAAGCCATTCTAGAAGTTTATTAATCATTTTCTGATTTTTTTTTCGATTATAATTTTAAGCAATTAAATGAATACATACGTGGTAAGTAAAAAATATGTTTATTCTCCTCGTTCGTGTCATGACATCACGCACGTACCTACGGGGATACATGATGAACAAAAAATACTATGCAAGTTGATGTCAATCACATTGATAACCCTCCCATCCATTTTTTTTTCATTTTTATTTTTTTTGTAATTATGTAATGTAATTACTTATTGCTGATACGAAGTATTACTCTGGTAAATAAATCGCGCTCCACCACATTTGTGGAAACTCATTGTTCCAGTTCAACTGAATATTCAAGGCCATTTTGACATGTGCAGGATTGAAACCTTTCAAATTATAATTTATATAAATTCATAATTTTGTACTAGAATTTCTTTACTTCATGCTTCTTTTCCAATAATTCCAATTTCCTTAATGACAAGACAATAAATCTTGAAACTCGAGCCTTGCCGATGCCAATTAACAATCATAATTATAAATTTACAATTTCTAAGCATCTAATAAGTTGACTCTACACAATGATCAAATTAATTGCAGTATTTCAAAATGGATTTCTTTTCTTAAAAAAAAATCTAGATATCCTTTCGAGTCTTATTGCTGTAATTTACATATTGGAATTATAGTTCATTGAATAACAGCGGTTGCAAAAAATGAATACTCCCTATGCAGAATTATCTCATCAATCATGTGATGAGGGAGAAGAAATTAGGGATGAATTAATTATTGTGATCATCTCGATACTGATGAATTAAATGGAAAATATGAAATATTAGAGAGATATTAACAATGCTGATCTAATTTTCATGATTGTGACATTTTATTAATGCTGGATTTGTGGTCACCACGAGCCGTGTTTATTCGGTGGTCGTTATCAGTTTAAATTTCTATACGACAAATTTGGCCAACGTTGTTATTGTTTCTTCGATATTCATCCTCCATCGTCCATCTTGTTATGGATGAAGTTGTACCAATGAATGTGTAGTGAGTATATAAAATCAATCGTACCATCCTTCACGAATTTTTCCTAAGTGACATACTTGCTGTCTCCATTGGATATCCAGATTTTTGTCTGCACTCATTCTCATAACAAATCGCAGTGATTGAAAGAATGATATTAAAGTAGTGCTTTCAGCATTAGATAGAATTGTACAAAAAATCTGTGAATTCTTACAATGATTCTACTTAAAAAACTATCTAATCACACAGGTCCTATGATTACACACTTTTACACTTTATACAAATTTTACGCTCCAAAAAAGTTATTGCGAAGTAAAGAACTTTCATATCGCTATTCGTAATAACACTCGTAGTAACACCGATTTGATACAACTTGATGATGAGAATCAAATGAACGCTCAAAAGCGTTATCAATTGCGCTGTCACACGTCAATTTGTATATCACTGTCTTCAGCCTCACTCTCGGTACTTACCATTGCGTCTTCACCGACTAGCAATGCAGCTGGAAGATTCTGGGGGACATTGTCAATGTCTAATCGAGGAGTGGAATAAACGTTTAGCACTTGGATTGTTGTTGGTGATGTGGAGAGATGCTGTACTGAACTCAGAGGATCTGCTGTTAATGTGTCACAGTCTAGAGGTGTTGACAGTTGTAATTGAAGATTGTGAAGTTCTGGGATGTGAGGCCGAATCTGTGAAGCAGAGGAAACAATTTCTCTTAAAAACAGAAGTAAATCAATTTAATTTCAGAATTTGTTTTTTGTGATTCTCTTTTAAGGGTATTAGGACGGGATTACTTTTCTACAAAAAATGGAATTCGATTATATCTTGAGTTTTTAATTGCCAATGTAGGGACATAAAAATTCGTTCTATTATACAAAAATTTCAATTTTTTAATCACGATTTCTAACTAATTAATCTTTTTTTTTAATTCACATAATATGATTTTAATTTGAAACCGTTTGATATAACATTGAAAAATACTAGTTTCAAGGTTTCAAACTTTTATTTGATTTTTTGGGGAGAAAAACGCAGTTTTTCATAAGGGCCCTTGTTAAATTTTACAAATTACTATTACTATTACTATTACTCTTAGTCGGTAAGAGTGCCCGGCGCGTATCTGGGAGACCCGGGTTCAATTCCCGGCTGGGTGAAGCGGAAATTTTTTCTCTCTAAATTCTAATTCTCTTAGAATTTTTTTTTAGGTTTTAGGTTACCACGTAAATGGTTTTCACCAGCCATTTGCCATTTCGTGGACGAATTCAAGTTATAAACGCTTTAAACCTGATTTATTTTTCTCAGAAGAATTTACAGATTTCCAGCAAAAACTAACGTTTAAGTGAAATAGCGAGGACCAATGAGTCAACTGAACTCCCTGGTGAGTTTTTTTTTATAAATATGCTCGGATCCAAAGGAGAACGGAGCATTTCCATTGCAGATATTTTCCAAAAAGCTCCAAGAAAAAAAAAATTTCTACCAAAATTTTGATACTTCCATTGCATTCCGAAATATATGGAAAAATTTTTTCCGTACTGACCTTCACTTTTCCCAGTTCGGGGATTGGTATTGACCCTTCGCCGAACTGGCAAAAGTGAAAGTCACTACGGAAAAATATCGTTCGCGCCTACTGCCTAGTGCCACAGGGGTTTTCGACGCGAAATATACTATTACCAGTTGGCTTATGAATAAATTTATTTTTTTACTTCACTACTGGATTCCAAATGGCAGAGACGAAAGTTATGAATTCATTAATGATCCTTAATTACCTTGAGACCATCAGCCGTATGTGGATTTCTACATCCTCTGCATCTGCATTCTATGCACGGTTTACTCTCAACGTAACATGGACACCTTTGACCACAGCATGTTAACTTCCCAGGTATTGCTGTTGCGTTCCCACAGCGACACCCTTTTCTCTTACTTCTTGTTGAACTAGATCGTGGCTTTTTGAAGCCTGTCGTTGACTGAATCACAAAATAGTTCACAATTAGTCAACATGAGAGTATAGATACGACACATGTAGGAGCTTGATGTGTGCATGCATCCATGTCACGTGAAATATTTATTGACAGCGAAAAGGGCATTAGTTATGTTCAATTTTAGAGATAATATGTGACACGGTGGTTAAACTAATATTAATAGAGATGCAAAATTAATTTGAAAGATTGGTCTGTGGGGATAAAATTACTTTGCTGCCCTTCGAAGACTTTTTCGGAGAAGTAGTTCCGTATGAAAGATGTGAAGATGGAATGCATTTTACCCCTCCTACATTAGTCCGCGTTGTTCCGTCATCCTGCTGTATAATGTCAGTGTCTTCTACAGCTGCAGCTTTTCTTTTTATCGTTATCTTATTACCAGAGCCAGCATACATCACAGAATATATTGAGGAGCCATTGGAGACGGTTCTAATTGCAGGTGATTCTGTAAAAATAGATATTTTTTCAATAAAAATATACCCATCTTAGTAAATTTCTAAATGTATTCTTTGACCGATGAATTGATGAACAATTTGGTGTCGGCCTGTGCGGTAAGTAGTAGACTTTAAGATGGAATAAAATAAGACAACAAAAGTCCAACTATGTTGAGACTAAGCCCGACGTTTCGGCCCTTGTGTGCAGGGCCATCATTTATTGAGATATAACTAAGGTGTTATCAAACTCAGTACAAACCCAGACGTCCATGAGCCCATGTTCGTGGGCAGATTTTTAAACTGTCACTACGAACACCGACAATTGACTATCCTGACTGTCCTGACTGATCTGCCCACGAACATGGGCTCATTGACGTCTGCGTTTGTGATGAGTTTGATAACACTTTAGTTATATCTCAATGGATGATGCCCCTGAGGATGTTCCTGCATAGAGGGACCGAAACGTCGGGCTTAGTCTCAACATAGTTGGACTCTTGTCTTATTTCATTCCGTCTTAAAGTCGGCTACTGACCGCACCGGCCAACACCAAATTGTTTATAAAAATATAGCAACTCAAAATTTTTGGGATAAAATTTTTCAAGGGAATGGGAATAATGATTTATGGTGGTGATCATATCTATGTTCACAAATTCAGATAGAAAAGAGATGGATATTGGGAAAATAATGACAACGCTGATTAATTTGTCTTGAGTGCAATGAAAGATTACCTAAAGAATTTTCATCAATTATTCTAGCCCTGAGAAAATTGTTGGAAATGATATTTACCAGGTACGTTTTGTGGAAGTGTTTCGCTAGAGGCTTGAATGGTATTTCCTTGAGTCTGTGTCGATGTAGTGCTCGTATAAACACAAGGGAGTATGCTATAAGCGGACTTTGATAGTCCAGCATTGCTTTTAAACTCGTCCTTGAAACCGGTGCCCTCCTGAATAAGTTCCATGAGACTGCCAGCACCCACACTAGATGCCCCATTGCTCGTCACATTGGAAGACACAGAAACAATGAGATTTCTGTAAATACTCGTGCTCGTGAGATACTCGCAGAGTTTTTTATAACACTGTAACAGTATCCTCAACTGCACATTCTCCACATATTTGTCATAATCCTTGCACCAACCACAGGATGGCTTTAATTTTTTACGTCCGCCACGGCAACAACGACACACGTGATGTTGACAATTGGTTTCGGTGGGTGTGAGAGGTTCAATGAGAAGATTTGAGCACACTGTGCAACTCAAACTCTGGCGCAAATATGGTACAAGCCTGTATAAATCGGTCCAAGAATTTGGATCCTCCGAGTCGGCTTGTAATACTAGGCGACACGTAGACACATAAAGACTCGTTGCATTCATTTTTTGGCTTTATAGATTCACCTTTTATGATGCTAATTAACATCCACCATCTTTTGACTTGATACTGTCAATTAATTGTTAAAAATTAAACAAAGAATAACAAAACGATTGATCCTAAACATTTTACCCAACAGTGTAACCATTCTCTCACACAAACAAAACATCCGCCATGTTTGAAAGTTTTTTTTCAACTGAAGAACATGTTTCCAATGGTTGAATTTCGTCGCTGGTGCCTTATGGCGAGGGAAAGGATGGAGGCAGCGGAACCAATCGGCGTACGGATTGGGCGTAAGCCGCATCTTCAAAGAATTGTTATGTAGTACCTGTAGGGATTGATATGACCTTAGCCGACAGATGATTGATTATGAAAAAAAAAAAATTCAGGTCGTTTGTACTACGTCTGTACATGATTGTTCTAAGATCAGAACCGTTTGTTCCTCTTCCAATTATTTATTAAAAAATAATGAAAAAATGGCCCATGTACTTGGCCGACACACATTAAAAATTATGTTTCCCTGTTTTTTTGGGATTGTTCGGACCTAGAATCGTTTGTATTTTAATTGTTTGTCAATTTTATCGTTTGTTCTTGATAATTTTCTCGTTATTTATTGTAATTACGACAATTGAGTCCGATTCGTCAACTGACACCGGCGGACCACAGGTGTTATCTAAGATGGCGGGGGATACCACCCATACCACCTACCACCACCGTCCTTTTTTCAACATTTCATTATTAATTAATCATGAAGCAAAGAATGTAATGGTTTTTCATATTGGTTGGGTATAAATCTTTTGGTTAAATATAACAGTGATGTTAAAGTGTACAAAGTGTTCTCAATAAATTAAATATATCAGCCATAACCTCCAATGAATGCATTTTGGAGTAAACCAGCTCAATTGACATGCGATAACATTTTCTAAAATCAAGTGATCCGACCAATACTCATAAAAATTGATTGGGAATTAGGATAACAGTGAAGAAAGGTGAGGTTCAATTATCATCAAAGCATTTCATCAGTAAGGTTATGGAACGACGAGGTTAGGGATGGTCAATCACTTCTCCTCGGAGATTAGTTTGTGAAGTATTTGAGAACACAAAAATTGATTGTACAAATACAGCGATCTTCTCTTCATAGGCCCACTGATAGTACTATTTACAATAACTGATTTGCATCTCATTCTACTCATGCAAAGAGGATACTCAAACAGAAAAATCTTTACGAACATCACCAACTAAATCATCAACGTCTTCGTTCCTCATCCAGAATCTAGAGCAGTCACAGCCTCAGATAATTTATTCTCTTGAATGGTGACCTGCACTGCTGGACACACATCAACCTGTATTCAGAGTCAAACTATAATCCTTTTTAATCCTAATTTCAGGGATGTTTTCCAAGCTTCACCTCTTAGGAAAATTGTGGTCATGGAAGTAAGGACAACACATCACTCACTGGGACCATTCCCATTCAAAACTAAGGACTCAAAATTTTTGTACATACGGATATAATAGAGAGATTAATAGTGTATACACTCAGAAAGGCCTAACTCGCGAAGTTATGGCGTCGACAATTCATTCATTCAATCCTCAGCCCCCGTAGAAGGACCCCTGGACTACAAGACAGGGTCTTCGAATGAGTCAACATCTCATAAGCATTTAGTGTCAAAATACAAGGTGAGAAGAACGAGGAGGACAACACGAGACTGAGCTACCACTAATCAAGGACTTCCATTTTCTATGTGAAGGGGTTGGCCCTTGACCCTATCGTCGTTTACTACCCTGAGGAACTCAAATGGCCATTAAGATGTCCAATCAGTCCTTTGCGGTTGATGCACAGTCTGTTGTTGACTCTCTGCACGAAACCCTATGTCATGAGAATGTAATTATGGAATCGCGGAACGAAACCGCTGTTGCAGTGTTTCGTTCTGTTGACTGATGTACTTGTTTGCATCTGTGGGGCACACATTTTTAATGTTAAAATTCGTCCGTCACCCACTGGTAATTTTTTTTCTCTATTTTTTAATTAATAGATAAAACAGGATGAATCAATTTCATTCTCAGATCTTTTAGTTTTTAGAAAATAACTTAGGATTTAATGGAGACAATGAAAGTTGTGAAGATCTGAATTGTAGTCTGTGAAAAAATTTTTTTATTCCTTTGACAAGTACATCTTTGATCATGTTCGAAACTCATGGCTAAAAAGTTTCTGAACTAAGGGCCTGGTGTTGAGAGGAAAGAAACTTTCGTCAATAATTTTTGTTGTTACATCTTTGTAGTCAAATATTTTGAATTTGATACGAAGAAATTGTTGACCTAATTGATTCAACTAGAATAGATTTCTTCTCATGAAAGAAGTAAAGAATTTCATATCGAAAGTTCTTTACTTTGTCAGCGTAGATATTCTACTCTCAAAAATTGTTGAGTCTTCAGTTTACTAATAGAAGTCGAGAAACATTGGTCAAACAACTTTTTTCATCAGGGCAGATCAGATGTAGATCTATCAAGATGAGCTCCTTATTGAAATCTATAAATTTTTACTTGTCGAAAATGATAGTCGAATGAAAAATGAAAAGTCAGGCAAGTGAAAAGAGAAAGTATCAAAGATTTCCATCATTGAAATTAGGTGATACATTTAAAAAAATTAGAAAGGAGTCTGAAAATTAGCAATAAACTGAATTCGAAAAGTTACCCCGTTGAATTTTATAGTCGTTCATTTCTAAAATTCGAGAAGAGATTCATCTGAATTAAGAATTAATTACAGAAAATGAGTGAGATGTATCTAAGAATCAAACCTTTATTTCCTTTTTGATAAATTCTAAAAAATATACTGAGATCATTGTTTCACATTTCATGCCTACAAAAAAGATATCAACCATTTTAGTATCTCTCACATTCTGAGAATATTCAACAAAAAATTAAGTCATATCAACTCATGTCGTTTTGATATTTACTGAGTATCAAATCGTAACTAATAAGATACTTTCATTGCTTGCAGAAAAATCAGCAATAGAATTATGGAAATGAGCTCAGTATTTCACTTTCAGTACGTAAATATGAAACAAAAGAGTTGAATTAATGCGACGAGATAATGAATTAATACTAAAATCAATTTTCGTGTCATTAGATGCTTAACAGTGTTTGGCACTTTAGCAGTATTCATGGCTAAACTAATAAAATTCAAACTTGACGAAGTAACGACGATTAAACTCGCTTTCTCATGCTTCCATTCGTCTACAAAACATTCCTACTCAACAGCATCACATGGCCCGACGGATCCAACGTACATAATTGCAGAACGAATTTACTGACATTTTAAATAACAATTCTTTACAATCATAGCTTCACTGACATTTCAAATAACAATTCTATACAATCATAGTTGGAAAAATTTCATATAAAAAATGTGTCTTGACATTTGAAGGACAAGGAAAAACCTGGCCAGGTTCAGTAGAAGTGAGAGTATCATGAATAGTTTTAAAAGAGAATGTCAAAAATCCTTTCATAGAGGTCCTTTTCGACAAAGAAACGTCTATTGACATTTCTATTCAACACGTCTATTGTTATTTGTCCCACAAATAACCAATTATTCAGTTTACTTCATAATTCTGTGATTCAACATTCGCGTATTGAAAATTTCATTTTCCTATTTTTTGTTCTCTAGGTCAACGAAATAACATCTCGTATCCTTCGCTGATTGGTGCAACACCTTGGAAATTAGCGCAGATTATGGTAAAAGCACTATGATCTATGAGCCTGCTATTTTTCGTGGCTTCCTTAAAGAGACCTTTCTCTATCAGAACACTGCACTATATTTATAATAGGTACTAATAAACATAATAATTAATTACTCAAATTACCCTTTTCATGAAATTATTCAGGATGAGACCAAAAATTAATACTTTTTCAGATATTGGAGCCTCCTTACCAAGTGCTTGTATCCAGCTGAGGACATTAAAAATCATAATCGCGTAAAATTCGTGTAAAAATCCAATTTTAATTTACAAAAAACTTGTCATTGGAAAGTGGTAGAAATTAACTCACATGAATAATAAATTGTAATGACAACATATTCTCGTGGCATTTTCACTCCAGACATATTCTAATGTAATTTCCAGCATTACAATGCTCTACCCCAAGGTAATTTGATTTACTTTGAAAGGAAAGGTGAATGAACAAACTTTGATTAAAAATTGATATTTGCAAGGACTGAAAATGAACGCCAATAAATTTGAAATTCTGACGTGATTGACAACAATATTACTTGAAAAAAAATCTTGTGTTTCCTGTCCTTATCTTCAATATTTTAGCATTGGAGTTCACGACTGATCAACAATTAGTAATTCCATTCAATATAGAGTATTGTTTTATGAACAAAAAAAGAAAACAAAAAGAAATACTTCAAAATATACCACAAATGATATTGCTGTTGTAAAATACCATGTAATCTACTCATGGTATTTGCACCAAGGAAAACGCTTGATTTTTTAAAGGTTTTCGAACTTCGCTTGCATCTTCAGTGTCTTGGCCTCGT